TAATGTGACCGGGTTTTGATATTCAATGGGATTGAATTAATACTCCAGACTTGATGCTCTTTTTTTTTTTTATCTCCCCTTTTGCTGGGGAAATTGTATATATTATTTATGTCTCCTGTTGCTAATCATTAGTTTTATTCTTACGAAAGCTCTGCCAGCTGAGCCACCTTTCCCTAAATCAAGAGCAATAATGCAAAAAATCATTTTAGGGTAATTGGTGCTTTTATTTAGGGATAAGTAAGGTGTCTCAGTTTAACGAGACAGAAATGTTTGCTAAGGAGGGCGGGATAGGAGAAAGCCCAAACTCCTCCCTCTGAGTAATTATAGCTTTGAAATTAAGAGGCTTCGGTCGGAAAGGTGTGGAAAATAACAGTTCTTTACATATATATGTGTGTGTGTAAGACAGCAAAACCACCAACAATTCCATAACCAAACTTCCACCAAAAACGATTAAGTACTTTTTTGCCTTTCAGCGCAGTTATAACCACAACCAGCAGGGGGCGCTGGCATGCCTCGGGAGTCAGGGGCTGCAGTCACCAGGTAGCGCTGCTGGGCTTCCGGAAGAGCAAAGGCTGCAGTTGCTCACCGATGGTCGGCAGGTGGCGCTGTTGGGCTCTGGTGGCCACTGTGGGGTCCGGCTAGTGGGAGGCAGCTGAACGAGGGCCACCCCCGACGGGGGAAGGGAGAAGGGGAAAGGCTGGTTCCTCCTGTGGACTCACGCTGACAAAGACTGGCTCTGGCTGGAACTCCTCTTCCTTCTTCGTCAATGAGGTGTAAACTGCCACCGGCTCGGAGAAGGAGGAGGAGAAGGGGAAGAACAGCCTTTCCCCTCAAAAGTTCCTCCGCAGATGGCACTGGCTTCTCCAACGAAGTCCGAGGCAAGTCCAGGCAGTGGGCAGAGCAGGACATGAGGGAACAGAGGCAAATCGGGACCTCCCTCGGGGCCAAAAGAAGCTAGTGACTTGGCTGAAAAAAATGAACCTGGAGCCCCTCACCTCCACACCACTCCCTGAGTCTGGGCAAAAACAAAGTCCCACCCCCAGAGGAAAAGACCAGAGCTCTCCCTTTCCCCCACCTGTGGCTACAGGGGGGATGGAGTTTCCCTTGCGCAATTTAGCTGGTGTGCCGAGGTTATTTAGCATTTCAATGAAGCAGTCCTTAAGTCCCAAGTCCCGGGCTCGCCTAACAATGGAGTCTTAGCTTACTAGCAAGAAGCTGTTGGTATGGGAAAATTCACCAGGAAAAAATAAAAAAGTATAAAACTATAACATAAGGGGGTTTTTGTTTGTGGGTTTTTTGTTGTTTGTTTGTTGTGCTTTGCGGGTTTTTTCCTCCTATCAGTACTTGCATGGTACTGCTGAAAACTACCTTTTAATTTTCTTTGCTCTTTTCATAGCTGGTAACTTGGTATCCTCTTACAAACTGTGGTTTAATTTCTGTAATCAAATATATGCAAAGTCTTCTGTATGTCACGGGAAAGAAATGCCTATTTCCTGGTCTGTCTGTTACCCTCTTGAAGTAGAGGTTGAATTTCTTCACCTCTGCCACTGGGAGTAAATACTGTAGAAAATATCTGATAGTAAAACAGTAAAACCCACGTTAGAGACATTATTCATAACGCACATGCAACTGGCTTTTTGTCCCAGTCAGTTCTGGTTTTCTGAAATACCCAAAATAGCTTTTGTTCATTTGTAGAATCAACCTGTATTTGCTTCATGCTATTTTTTCACCTTTTGTTTGTCAAAAGCTTATTCTAAATTAACCCTCTCCTGCATTGTCCTTTTTCTTTACCAGGCTTCGTTCTCCTTCCATGACAGACTGTGCCACGGTCCATCTTATTCTTCCAGTGCTCACAGACATTTGTCTACGGCTGCGGCATCCTATGAGAATTTTATCTTTTCTGTTTGTGCTGGTTTTGGCTGGGGTACAGTTAATTTTCTTCACAGTGGCCGGTATGGGGCTGTGTTTTGGATTTGTGCTTAACACAGCACAGGGTTGATAATGTAGAGATGTTTTTGTTACTGCTGAGCAGGGCTTACACAGAGCCAAGGCCTTTTCTGCTTTTCGTACTGCCACGCTGGCAAGGAAGTTGGGAGGAGACACAGCCGGGACAGGTGACCCAAACTGACAAAAAGGATATTCCATACCGTATGACATCATGATCAGTATATAAATTGGGGTGGATGTTTGGAGTGATGGCATTTGTCTTCCCAAGTAACTGTTGCGTGTGATGGGGCCTTGCTTTTCTGGAGATGGCTGAACACCTGCCTGCCCATGGGAAGCAGTGAATTAACTCTTTGTTTTGTTTTGCTTGTGTGCACATCTTTTGCTTTCCTGATTAAACTTTCTTTATCTCAACCCATGAGTTTTCTGGCTTTTACCCTTCTGATTCTCTCCCTGATCCCACTGGTGGGGGAGTGAGTGAGCGACTGTGTGGTACTTTGTTGCTGGCTGGGGTTAAACCACAACATCGTTGCGTTAGTTTCTTAGGAAAGCTCAACTAAGGAAGAGAGTGTTAGGATTTGTAAAGATATAGACTCAAAGGTTGGTTATCTTGAGATAGCTGTGCTCTTGAGTATGGTTCAGTGGCATGGGTGAGCTTTCTTGGTGAGAAGGTAGTGTGTTGCTTTCCAATGAAGCTATATCTGTTGCTTACTGAGTCCCGAGACCACTGTCACAAGTGCTTTCTTCTTTAGGAACACTTTGGACATGTAAAGATTGTGGTATTGATTGTTAACAATCTGGTGGATGCTGAAATCAATTGGCACCTCTTATTACTGGTCAAAAAAGATCAAGGGTTTGGTGTCAAGAGCAGCCCAACAACAGTTGGTATCTTACTATCAAATTTTCATAATTTGAATGTAACGTGACTTTGCCTTTAGTGTATTGATGCCATTTATTTTTCAGTAGTATACCTACTGCAAATCCGTGTTGCAATATTTAGATTTTATACTATGAGTTTAATAATTAAAGAAACAAATGAATAATATTGGTGGCTTGTGGATGAGAAAATGACTTGAGGGTTTTGGTTGGCTTACAGCTCCTTTGCAGCCTTTCTGTAGAATTTGGGCATGTCACCAGACCTCTCCGTTGGCCTGACCATATGTCCTGGTTTCAGCAGGGATAGAGTTCATTTCTTCTCGGTGGCTGGTACAGTGCTGTGTTTTGGATTCAACATGAGATAATGTTGATAACACACTGATGTTTTGCTTGTTCCTAAGTAGTGCTTACCCAAGTCAAAGACTTTTCAGTGTCCCATGTTCTGCCAAGTGAGGAGGTGCACAAAAAAAAGCTGAGAGGGACCATAGCTGGGACAGGTGACCCAGCTGGCCAAAGGGATATTCCAGACCATAGAATATCATGCCCAGTATATAAACTGGGGCAGTTACCTGGAAGGGGGGCCGCTCACAATTTGGGGATGGGGTTTGGCATCGGTCAGTGGGGAATGAGCAATGGTATTGTGCATCACTTGTTTTTCTTTTGTTTTCTCTTTCTTATTTACTATTATTACTATTATTATTATTGTGTTTTGCTTTGTTTCAATTATTAAACTTCTCTTATTTCAGCCTACAAGTTTTACTTTTGTTTCTCATCCCCATTCTACGGGGGGTGGGGTGGTGAGCGAGCGGCTACATGGTGCTTAGTTGCCAGCTGGCCTTAACCATGACATCCTAAAATGGGTATGTTACTGCTCTATTCCAGGAAGATACTGTCTTAAAGCCAAGACATTCATTGGTGTTGAATTAAAGTATTTGAAGCTTTAAAATACCTGAGAGTTGGTTTTGTTTATTTCCTGTGGCAAATATGTATAAAAATGTCTGATCTTAAAATAATTACAAACTGTAGTCACTTGATATCTTGTAACTCATCTTCATTGAATGGCTGTCTTAAGTCCATACCACTTCTAGTTTGGTGCCTTGAGCTCTTAGATAGCTGTAAGAGATTGGGAGATGCTGGCGAGTCCCTGCGTGAGCTTGCAGAAGTGCCCACAAGACAGCCCGGGCAGTTGTAGTGTCAGTTAAGTAGGCAGCACTGTTACTGGAAAGGAACATTACACAGAACTTGACAAAACAGCTCTCTTCTCTGCTGAGAGTATCTCTCCTTCTGATGTCCAAGTAGAAGCCATTGTCTTTTTTTGTTCCTCCCAAAAAACCCAAACTAGAAGTTATCTTTTTTAATTGAAATTCTATTTTGATTTTTTAAATAATTTATTTTCTGTAAAAGAAATTATTTTGTCTGTTTTGTGAGGATGCAAGTATTATTTAATATGTCCCAGCATAGCTTTACTAATATGGGTGAAGAACCTTCCTAGAAGTACTTGGCAGAAAAAACAAAAACCTGCTACACTCGTATTTAGAGAGGACTTGTTATTTGACAGACTGATAAACTGGTTATCGCTGAGAAACTGTAATTAAAAAATACTACTATATATGGGACTTGAGAAAAACAGATATTTTTTCAAGTATTTGTAATAATGTTAGATGTGTGAAACAGCACGGTGAGAAACTGATGGGTTTATTGGTTTTTATTTCATTTTCTGGCTTCCCCTATTAAAAAAAATATTCATTTTCCTCAGTGTGTGATATTTCTGTTCAGCCTATAGGCTTTGTTTGCCACAGTATCATTGAGTTTGATTTATTGGCATTAGATTGTCCAGTTTCTTTATGTCAAAGAGGTTTAGGCACAGTCTCTCTCAGCATTGTCATAAAATAACAGCTGGAAATCCTAATTACATTGAATTTTCTTGATGCAAGTCAGGCTGTGTTCACATTTGTGTGATAACAGCATCACTAGAACTATTGAGACTTGATAAATCCAGTGGCCATCCTGTATCAGGTGATAAACAGAAAGTTGGATAACTTGATCTAATAAGATTTTCCAGTTGCATTGTTTCAGTCTTTTTTTTTTTTTTTTTATCTTGGGAAATTCCTTTTTCAGCTGCTTTCTGAGTTGTGTAAGTTGTTAAACATTAGCTGTATTCGCATTTTCCCCATCTATAGGTCATTTGGATCCAGGCTTCCTTGCAGGTGACAAAACCTCTTCTAGTAATGTCCAGATCAATGAAGAAATTAATATTGCCTCTTCTGATAGTGAAGTAGAGATTGTTGGAGTTCAGGAACATGCCAGGTATGAATTCCTTTTTCTTGCTCTAATATTTCATTTTATCCCAATATCTGTATTGCCAAAATTAATAAAGAAAAAAATGCTGACTTTCACTTCTGTAGTTATCCATCCATGACTGATGCCCAAAAGGTAGCAAATGTTGCACTTGTTTTTTTGCTGGTCACAGTGATATCAGAATGTGTTTTTCTTTAGAATATTACCAACTTGATAAGTGTAAGGATAGAATACTCTTCTGGAAGATTTCACTACGAGGAGATAGAGTTATTCTCTTAAGAAAGCTTTCCTGCCTAAAAGAAGCATCTTTCTCAAAGACAGTTTTTTATGTTTTCTCTCCCTGCATTCCAGAGAGACTCTCAGGCTCTCTATGGTATGTGAGGAGAGAGATAAACACTCACAGATGTGTAACACGGTGAGTTCGTAGGATGCCAAAATTGAAAACCAAGACACTGCTGAAAGCTCAACAATAAACCCAATATTTATTACAAAAGTGGCAAAGCAGATGGGAACCCGAGAGACAGGAAAGGAGAGGAGTGAACTAAGCTCTCAGTGAAACCCCCACTCATGCAGGTGTGTTTTATGAAGTTGTCTTACCGACCCCAGAATGACTAGAATTCCCCATAGCAGATGCTGCATCCTCGGAGGGTCAGCAGGCTCACAATGATAGCAGGCGTCCCCGCAAAAGGCAATGTTGTCCTTCATGTGAAGCTTGAGAGAACCAAGCACGAGCCACTTGCATTTTTATCCAATTAACCATTGACATCTACCTGTGACGGTGTGGCCAGCGCAGTCCAGCTAGAGGCCTTCGGTTCTCCCCCCCCCCCGTTATGTAAGCATACCCCTTCAGCGCATGTGTGAGAACTTTGGAATTCCCCGATCACATGCACTGTTTCACTGAAGGGGTGTTATCTATTTGGGTCTGGGGGCTTTACTTCATCCTCTCCTCTTCAGTTTCTCCTTCAAATGTCCTCTACAGACAATGAGCCAATCACAGAACACCAATTAAAATAGTTAATACAAGAAACTGTCTCTCCAAGGATGAAGCTCCCATTTATCAGTGAACTTGGCAGGCAAAGAACAAAACTTTCACAGGTGGCTGGGCCAAACACAGACCAAAAAAAAAAATATCAACATTCCCTGATATAGACATGTAACACTCACAGACATGTAATGGGCCTCCAAGGTGAGGAAGGGGAGGGGGGCAACGATGCTAAAGCCCTGAGAACATGGACTGTGTCTTTCTCAGGCCTGGTGTTTGAAGCGCCATTAGGAATTTTCTTTTAAGTCTAGTGTTCTTGACTTTGGAAATAAATTTTCCTACAATCTTTCCACTGCTTGGTATTTCAGGGGTACCTGCGTGTTATCTTGCTTCACAATAAATATTCATATTAATATTGTGATTTGATATCAAACATTAACAGGTTAAATATATGCAGTATAAAAATGCCAAATATTGAGATATCAAATGTATATACATCAGGAATTCAGACTTTAAAGGCGTAGTGTGAAAATGCACATAAAGAAACTAAAATAGTTATGTGGGTTCTGGTTTCCTTTAAAAATATTAACTCTAAGCATTTAATCAGCTTCCACTTTATTTAATTCATCAGTAGTTGTAAAATTACTATTAACTTTTCAATAGCTTATGTCATAAGATAGCCCCTTTAGATTGAAAATCGTATCTTTATGAATCTTGGTTTTATTTCAAGATACAAGAGTTCAAATCTCCAAAGTAGAGGAGGGTAAGGAAGCCAGAGATTTCTCTCAAGCTTGGATAGAAAGCTGTCCAGCTGTGCTTCAGTTGTTATTCTTGCTAGGCATTTTTTGATGTATTCTTCATCTTTAGTCTATGATCTTTCCTTGGCTTAAGATATTATGAAGCAGTTGAACAAGACTGGCATTTTCATATAGTATGGAATGTTAATTTAGTGGAATAAAATCAAGTTAAAACAGTATACAGACAAGCTCCTTCTAAAACTAGTCTGCTGCCTGGTGGAGGCTTGGAGTCAGAAAAGGGATGTGAGGGACAAAGAACAGAGCTGTTCTTTGTTGTCCCTTCACCATATCTTTCTTGAGGAAAGGGAGAAGGAAGGTGTGCAGGACACAATTTCCCAGACAGGAAACGGTACAGATAGTATGGGCATAGTCCAGTTCTGTTGGTTATGAAAAAAGGAAATTTTAAGGTCCCAAAGGAAGAGATATTTAGTCTTCACTTTTAGAGTAGTGAAAGTCCTTGCATGGCTAACTCTTTTGAAAGGTACTAATTTTTTAGGTAGTAACTCTCCTGCTGTTTATCCAGCAGATCCAGAGCTTGGAGGATCTTTGTGCTAATAAGCAGTGTGGACTTGTCCTCCAATGCTAGTTTGTGTAAATCTGTCTAGCACTATGTACACACAACTCTTTTGCTTGTGGTCCCCTATTCAAAAGCTTTCCATGCTGCTTGCATTGATAATGTTTACCATGTATAAGGATGGAAATGTGAAGTAAATGCAGAATTGCTGTTTAAAATCAGTTTTAGTAGATATGGACTGAAATAATTTCCGCAAAGACAGACTTAAAGCACGCTTTTGTGCTTTCCTTTGTTCATGTAACCATGTACCACCTCCCACAGACTAGTTTTTACTGGCTTTGCTGAATACTCACATACTTCAGCTGTTCAAATCCTATTTAGAATTTTATTTCTCTTGCAGGTCTAGGCTTGCAACTATGAAGTATTGATGGGTTTCTGACAGGGTTGTCTTTTGGAAAAGGTTTAGGTTTCTGATCGGTATTTTTTGCATGCTTAGTTAGTATGGTGTTTGGATTCTGTTCTTTTGCTCACACTGTTTTTTATCATGTTCTATATTCCATGTCATTATTGGACTGGTGTGAGTCATGGCACCCTAGAGTTTGTCCATCATTTGTAGTTTTTCAGATTATTAGTATACTGGTACTGTTTCTCATCATTGGAATATTACTTGGCATCTACTTAGGACACCAAGTAATTTTTTTAAATTTGTTTATTTTTTCCAGTTATACTTAAAAATATTTCTTCTTAAAAGAAAGCTTTAAAAGAAAGAAATCACCTACATTTTTTAGAGTTCCAGTCTCTTATTACTGATTCTTTGTAGTTGTGGACTTTTTAAGTATGTATTTTTTTAAGACTGAAGAAGTAATAAATAATAATGGCCAGTCTTCACGAGTGAAGATCCGGGGAAGGTCTTTACACCTTCCAGCCTGCGCATTGGATTTTTTAGGTGAGACACAGTGTGCGCGGAACTGAGCCCACCCTTTAATCCTAAGGTTCATCTGCCGGGGCCAAGCGAGCTTGGACGGTGGCAGCGAGGTCCTTAGGACGTAGATGGGTTGCCTTTAAGGGCTAACGAGCTCCATCTGCCCGGGAGTGGCCCTGACCGGGAATCGAACCTGGGCCTCGGCGGTGACAGCGCCGCGCCCTTAACCACTAGACCATAAAAAAGTAATTCTAAACATCACATCCAAAACTAAATAGCATATCCAAGAAGACAATGAGACATATTCAGAGAACTTATAGCTCAGAGAATAAGATTTTTCATTCTATGTCATGAATCTCTAACCAGAACCAAGAGAGATGAGCATAATCTAAGTAGTTCTGGAGAAAATAAATTGCATGACCTTAAAATAAATAAATTAATTCATTAAATGTAAATGTCAGGGACATTTGGGCAATGCAGAAAATTTGGGTTCCTGAAATACAGTACATGTGCCTTCACAAAGAAATGGGAAAAGCTTACCTCAGCAACCAAAACACCTCCAACTTATGTGTGCAGCCACTACCAGTGCTTACAAGAGCAAACCAATTTTTGGAGCACCAGGTATAAAGTTTTACTAGTGCTTGTTTAAGATTTACAGCTGGAAATGGAGTGATCATCTTAAAGACTCCAGTAAATTCTTGTCATCGCTTCGTATAACAAAATTAGTGTAATGGGTTTATGTGGTCGAATTTTGATAGCAGGGGGAGGCTATAGAGGGGTGGCTTTTGTTAGAAGCTGCTAGAAACTTCCACTGTCCTATGAAAAGCCAATGATAACCAGCTCCAGGAGGGATTTCCTGCTGCAGACCAAGGTTGAACCAATGAAGTGCGCTTCTGTGATAACATTTAAGAACAGAGGAAGAGAAGGTTGATGCACAGAAGAAATTCCAGCCCAGAGAAGAGCAGAGGAGAACATGGGATAACAATGCAAACTCCAAGGTCAATGCAGCAGGGGGGGTGGGGGTGGGAGGAGGGGCCCAGGGGCCCCCCTCTTCCCCTCCAACAGGGGAAAGACTGAGAACTGAGGCCCCTGCCACTGGTGGAAGACCATTGGGGTGCAGAGCCCCCCCCCTGCAGCCCATGCTGGAGCAGGTGGATGCATAAAGGAGGCTGTGACCCCTGATGGGAGGTCCTGCAGGAGACCTGTGGTCCATGGAGAGAGAAACCCACACTGGAGCAAGTTGTCCCGGGTAGGACTTGTGGCCCCAGTGGGGGGACCCACATCGGTACAACTCAGTCCATGAATGACTTCACCCCCTTGAAGGAGTGACTCATGGGACAGCAGATTGGGAAGAACTGTTACCCGAGGGATGGACTCATACTGACTGTATCCCATGGGAAGGGACCCCACGGAAGCAGGGAAAGGACTCAGGGCTGTGGCTCCCCTGTAGCCCATGGTGAAGACCATGGTGAAGCAAGTTGTCCCCTTGCAGCCCATGGAGGACCATCAGAGTGCAGAGACCCCCCTGCAACCCATGGAAAACAAGAACTGACCCCCCTTTCCCATCCCCCTGCACTGCTGGGGGGGGGGAGGAGGGAGGATATGCAAGGAAGGAGGGGTGGGGAGAAGGTGTTCTGTTTTATTTCTCACTCTTTGGCTTTTATCCTGTTAGCAAAAAATTTAAGTTCTATCCCCTACTTTGAGTCTGTTTCGCCTGTCAGTAAATGACTGTCTCCCAATTTTTATCTCTACTCAGAAATTCTTTAGCTGTTTTTTTTTCTCTCCTCTGTGGAGTTGCAAAGGGAGGGGGAATGTAGCAGTTTTTGGTGGGTATTTGAAATCCAGCCAGGGGAACCTACTACAGTTAGTTAATCTTTCATTTTGAGGGTATTTTTCTAATTATTATTAGCTTGTACTTCAATCGTCACATATCTACTATGAATGCAATAGGAAAAAATACTGTGGAAATAAGTAGATACGTACCTTGCTTCAGCAAGGCACTTGAGTGTGTGTTTAAATACATGATTTATTCTCATTGACTATAATCACTGAAAGCTTAAATGTTTTGCTGAAGTGGAACTTTACTGTTATCAGTGAACATTTCCCATCATGTTTGCAAATTTTTGTTAAGAAGACCAAAAGAAAAATCAAATGTAATGACTGTAATAATGTAATTGACAAAATCTTTTTAATAATTATTTTAATGAAAGTATCATTGCGTCCTTATTTTAACATGGCTTTGATTTCATATAGAAAGATACCTTTTCTCTTTGTCTCATCCAGCCTCATTTAAAATTTTTCTCTTTTTAACTCCAGCGGGTAAAACTAGCAGGAAACTATGCTTCTGAATAATGCATGGTATTACACATGATGGGGCAGACTTCTCCAAGATCCTTGGGATCCATGCACATATTTTTTAATGAATATCACTTTATACCCACTGACAGAATTCAGTTCTTAAAAATAATTTAATCACTACCCCCAAGTTTAAATTTAGTCTCAGTTTTGTTTACTGGGTATTTAAGATGTCACGGACTCTACAAATGGAAAATCCACATGAACATTTTGAAGGGGAGAATGTTAAGATGCCTAAATGATAAAACACTGCAGCTAAGAATTTTGTGCCTGAATTCAGTGGTAGTTTTAATCCTTTGTGGTTTTTGCCTTGCTACAGGTATGTGCATCCCAGGGGAGGTGTGATTCACAGTGTGTCTTCTTGGAAGCATTGCTCAGGCTCACAGTACAGTAACGCTCAACAAACACAATCATGGACAGCAGTGACTCCCCAGCAGAACTGGTCTTCACCCCCAGAAGTAGTAGACCTCACTCTGGATGAGGATACGAGACGCAAATATCTACTGTAATGCAATGTCTCTGTGTTTCTGTCCCCACCCATTCTCCCCTTTGTGGCACAGAAGTTCATTGTTAAAGTTTCAGCTTCAGAAGCCCTGTTCTTGGCATTATGAAATTCAAACTCATTATGTTTTTCATTTCCATAAGAATGTAGTATGATTTTAATATAATTTAAAATGGGTTTGCCTTCTCAAAGGAGGATTCATTCCAAAATTAAAACCCAATAGCACCAAATTTAAAACACATCTACAGTTAATAACATGTGCATGTTAATCTGAAAAAATAACTGTGTGCAAAGTTATGTCCCCCCACCCTTTCCCACCTCCAACTTCAGAACATTTTTAATTTATCAGTATATTGAGTTTATTAGTAGAAGTTTGTGTTTTGCTGTGTGAATATCAGTGATTTTGAGAAATGCTGTGTCCTCACTGATTTCGTTGGAACTGGGGGTTTTCAACACTTCCAAAAATTGGGCCAAGAGTATTTATACCCAAGCTGATTTGGTTATGTTACGAGTAGAGGGGACTGTCTTTAATGCAAAAGGCCCATAACATATGCACTGAACAGCTTTTAATTAAAGAAGTTTTATTTTCAATATAATTTATAGTTTACACTCTTAGTTCTAAATTTTCTATCTATTTGACTACTGTGTTTCACTGATCATTTCCCATGGCTTCTTATGGTTTAAAAGAGTAATAGTAGTGATTTAGTAGCAGCTGATTATTGCAAAAGCACAGGGAAAAAAAATTAATAAATAGGCCCAGCATCCCTCTGCTTTTTAAATAAAACTGAACTTTTTTACCTAAATCTGAGTCTTGCCTGGAGTAGGAGAAGGAGAGGAACAAAACATTTTGCTCACAGTCCTCATTTCTATTGATGATTATTTGCTTCATTCACCATCTCTAAAAAACCCCCAACCAAACAACCCCAAACAAATTCAAAGCCCCTGTCTGGCAAAACACTTTAGCAGCTTCATAACATTTAGCAGGAACAGTTCACTGAAACTCGTAGGACCATTCAAGTGCTTAAAACTCTGTCCTAAAAGGTGTTACAGGATCAGAACCTAAGGTTGTGATTAATTTTTATTTTTTTAAATTTTTTTTAATAGATTTGTATCATTTTCCTTGCTTTAGGTCATGTCTCTTATCCTAGTTTTGGAATTGTTTTTCAGGTATGATTCACAAAACATTTTCTACCAGAATATTTACTGAAATCAGTGGAACTACTTACTTTAGCGGGTTGTAGTTTCTGTAGCATGTATGGAAATTCCTGTCACTCATCTGTCATTTTGAGCCTTTCTCAAGGCAAAACCCAAAGATTAGACTTTAACAAGATGATATTCACTTTAAATGTCTATTGTGCAATTGAAACATTCCTTTGTATTCCAGATGTTTCTAGTGGGAATTTTGTACAGCTCTATCATCAGATTTTCTTAACAGACATTAGTCAGAACATGGGAAGTTTTGTTTTCTTTTTGTGTTGGCTGGTTTCTAAATTTATTTGGCTTCCAATAATTTTATCTGCGGCCAAAAAAAAACCCAAGCAGAACAGTTCAGACTGCACTTCAAAGAACAATTAGGTAAAGGATTGATATTCCAATTTCAAGCTTTCTAAAACATTGAATTTAAGTGTATTGCATGACCAGAAAAATGTATGTGGTGCTTCTAGTGACCAATTTCTTTCTCTGGGAGAGGGAAAAAGGAAGGGAGGGAGGGGAACATTGATGAAGCTCGTTCACATTGCAGTAGGGAAAAGCCCCATGCTATTGGGGCACTATAATCAGCAGTGGCTGTCTATCTTTTCTCCTCATATTTTAGTCATGCAACTCAGCCATCATTTTAGTGGGCTAGCACACATTTTGTAACGGTAACTTTGGAACTCACATACTGTGGCTACATTTTCCTGTTTCACCAAATCTTTTGAAGATTAGTTGTGAAGAAAGCTGCAGAGACCCATTTGTAGTCCTTCCATGAAAAATGCAAACTAACTCATTTTTCAGTTTGTATATGATGTGACTTCCATGTATATATAAAAACAACTGCATCCTAACCAAACTTAGTTCAGCTGTGCACTGTGTTTAAGCATGTATTTTAGCCTGATGCAAGTTTTCTTTTATTTAAAACACTGCATATTTTTTCTTATTCTTAACAGATTTGAAAGGGTAGTGAGTGATCTGGAAACTGCAATCACTGGATAGCTAGGAAGTGTTTTGGGTTTAATTTTTTATTTTATTTTTTAAAAAGAGCAAAAGGTGCTTGGATGATTTTGCTCTTCTCAGCAGGAAAGTGAAACATTAGCCATTGTATGGTTAAGAACCAATGCACATGGGGCCTGATCCAGAACCCATTGGAGTTGATGCAGGGCTTTCCATCAACCTCAGTGTGCATTGGCTCAAGCCCTTCAGGGTTTAGCAGTTCCTGAATTGCTAGAGTGTGAACTTGGAATCTTCTATAGTGAAAACAAATCATTACTTAGAATATAAATGTTTAAAACTACAACTCTAGTTAAAATTTTGATTCTTCTCAACACTCATTATTTAGTTCTCATTTTCCATCAAGTATTTAATGGTCTTTGAAGAAATAATAGAGTGTTATACATATATATAGAAATAAATATATATATTTTTGGTGCAAGATGAGACCCGTTTTTTGAAACAAGTCTGTAGCATAAAGGTTAAACTATTTTAAGATAAAATAAAATAGTGTATTATTTAAATAATATCCATTTGTTTGGGATTTTTTTTCCACTTCCATCAGATATGCTTTGTCACATCTCCAAATTAAAGCACAAAGTTCTGGGTTACATCTGTCCAAATTCAGCACTGTTCCCCACTGTAATGCATTTAATTTTACATGTTCAAAATGTAAAAGTGATTTCCTGACTGCAAACCCTTGCTTTTATCTCCCAGACCAGGGCAGGACCACCACTTCTCCCTGTAACACTTGTGGGGGATGCCAGGGGATGTACAGGTGCCAGTAATGAGCGGCTGCTGCCCATCATAGAACCATGGAATGGTTTGGGTTGAAAGGGACCTTAAAGACAGTGGGCAGGGACACCTTCCATCAGACAAGATTGCTCCAAGCACCATCCAACCTGACCTTGAACACTTCCAGAAATGAGGCAGCCACAGCTTCTCTGGGTAACCTGTGCCAGTACCACGTCACCCTCATAAGGAAGAATTTCTTCCTAATATCTAATCTAAACCTGCCCTCTGTCAGTTTGAAGCCATTCCCCCTTGTCCTATCCCTCCATGCCCTTGTGAAAAGTCCCTCTCTAGCTCTGTTGTAACCCTGTAGGTACTGTAAAGTGCTCTAAGGTCTCACCAGAGCCTTCTCTTCTCCAGGCTGAACAACCCCAACTCTCTCAGCCTGTCTACATAGCAGAGGTGCTCCAGCCCTCTGAGTATCTTTGTGATCTCTGGACTTGTGCCAACAGGTCCATGTCCTTCTTATGTTAGGAGCCCATTGTGCTCTGCAGGATCCCTTCTAGGCATGCAGTTTCTGTGCAACCTCCATCTCCCCACACACTACAGTCCTTCAGATGTCTGAGCAACCTTCACACACTGTATCCTCTTGTCCCATTGTGGTAGTTTTAATCTAGGCCTTCCTTGGTGACCAGTTTGTAACCAAGGAAGTGGTCATGTTCCCAGTATTCCATATGATTTTTACGTAGACCAGGGTATAAATAAGAAGGGAGGAGAGGCCTTCGTTCTCTTCTCTTCTGGCGAGGTTTGGGAGCAGTGGGTCCTTGTGTTGGTCTCGCTTATCTAGAGTCTGAGGCCTGCAGCGACCGCTGGTCTGCCACGTGGAAGATTTGGAGAGTGCTGACCGTGTCTGGCGATCTTGCTTTTCTGAGGGACGTGGTGAGATTTGTTTTGCTAGTTATCTTGCTAGTTCTTGAGTTTGATTGTGCATATCTGTTCTGTGTCCCTTTTTGTCCCTTTTTCCCCTTTCCCTTCGGGGGGTGTTTGGATTCCTTTCACTGTGTACATAGAATTTTAATTGTATATAACTGTAATATACGTAAAATATATTTATTTTTTATATAACTAGCTTGATTTCAGTTTCTTCGATTTGTATAGGTTTTTTTTTTTTCTTTCCTTTGCCCTAAGGGAAGAAGGGAGGGGGAAGGGGTTGTTACTGTGGGTTCGGGCATTTGGCAGGGAGCCAGGTCCGAACCATCACACCCATCCTTCCAGCTTTCTTCTGCTGGTCTTCCTTGGAAATGCGTGTTTTCTAATGTTACCACTGGTAGATTTTACTATTTGCATCCTAAAATACTCGATTCCCCCCATCATTACTACAATCCTCTGGATGTCCCAGCATTTGGCTACATGGACCTTCAGGAGAGGCTGCCATTTCGAAGCAGGGTGCACTCAAATCCTCCCTCTGGGGTTGTAGATACATATGAGATGTTTCTCCATGGCGTTATAAGCTGGTAGTGGTCCTCTAAACCCCAAGAGGAGCTTTTATACCTGAGGTGGTTGGGCTGGAATGATGCTTTGCAGATCCTGATGGGAAATGTGTCACTAGTGTTATGTGATTACACTCAAAGCTCATCTTACCTGGCACAGAATATGACAGAAATTCATGCAAGGGCAACTTTCTTGCTTTTCTACATGATTTCACTTCCCATTTAGGTCCATTTATTTGCACTCTCCCTGGACCATGTGTGACAAAACCCACCAAATAAAAAATACCCCTTGCAGAAACTCTACCAGGTCAAAATCACTGGCTGAGTGCTTTGGATCTCTTTTCAGACATTTCACTAACACCTCCCTTCTGCTAACATTTTGCAGTTTTAATGAGATCCATCATCTGCACAGAGAGCAACGGTGAAGATCTCCATGATGCACGGGAAACCACTTCCTTGGCTGGGCTTTCCTTCTTCTCTCGGTCAGCAGCACATCTCCAGGAGGACAATACCCCCTCCTCACTTCTGTATTGCTCAGAGCAGCAAGAGGGAAGGACACCTTAAGAAAATTGGTTTGCACTTAAATAAAACAGTGATGTGGGTTAATGAATATATCTGGGCAAAGTGGTGGTTCTTCTGAGCATTCAGGGTTGGCTCTTGAAGGTGAGGGACTATACTTGCTTTTCTTCCCATCTTGGTTGTGGGAAACGATGGAGGCATCCTTACAATATGGAGTACCAAAAAGGATGAGACCCACAGGAGTGGGATGTCATTGAGGGCAGCTGGTGAGTGACTCCTTAACTGCCCCTCCAGCTTTTTCTGGAGGAAATTCCCAACCCCTGTGCAGAAGGGTTATCTCCAGCACAGTGGAGTAATGCAGCCAAAACTTCAGCTTTTAAAGACATCCTTGGTGGGGATCGTGTCTCATTTTCTGAGAAGGTGGGAGATAGGCCCTACCTGTCTATGAGATGTATCCCATGGAGGAAAAAATGAAGGTAGGGGTATTTTGTCAATTAATTTTTGTTTCTCATGGTTGTCATGGTTTGGGAATGGTATTCTCCAATTTAGAGTTCCCACTGAAACCAGTCCAAACCATGGGCTCCTTGCTCATTCCCCCTTCCCTCTCCCAGTTGGGCCGGAGAAGAGAATTGGAGGCACAAAAGGTAAAGATCATGGGATGAGATAAGAACAACTTACTGGAAACAGCAATGAGATAAGAAAACACACAGTAACAGCAACAATATTAATAACAAACATGTACAAGAAATGTTATTGCTCACCCCCCCGAGGAAACCCCCAACAATATCCGACCGCTTGACTGCCATCATGCTACGCTGACCCAGAAGTAAGCCCTTCTTCCCTTCCCAGAAAATGATGTGGTACAGAATAACCTCCAGGTCCTAGCCTTGCCACTCCTTCTATGGTACCTGGAGGTTTTGAGCAGGGCCAACTTGATTGGTAGAGCCTCTAGTGTTGTCTAACCAGGTGGCCCTCTAAATGTAGATTCCACTGTTTGAAGGTTCACCCACCCATTGCTTTCAATGTGGTTTTTAACAGCCCATTGTACCAGTCAGTTTCCCCAGAGGCTGGTGCGTGATAGGGAATATGATACACCCACTCAATGCTATACTCTCTGGTCCAGGTGTCTATAAGGCTGTTTCTGAAATGAGTCATGTTGTCCAACTTAATTCTTCCATGTCGCCACAGGATTTTCTTTTCAAGACCCAAGATGGTGTTCCAGGCAGTGGAATGAGGCACAGGGTACACCTCCAGCCATCCAGTGGTTGCTTCCACCATTGTAAGCATGTAGTGCTTGCCTTGGTGGATCTGTGGGAACATGATGTAATGAATCTACCGGGCCTCCCCATATTTATATTTCAGCCATCATCCACCATACCCCAGAGGCTTTACCCACTTGCCCTGCTTGATTGCAGTGCATGTTTCACAGTTATGGATAACTTGGCAGATAGTGTCCATGGTCAAGTCCACGCCTTGATCACGAGCCCATCTGTATGTTGCATCTCTTCCCTGATGACCTGAGGCATCATGGGCCCACAGAGACAGAAATAATGCACCCTTATGTTGCCAGTCCAGATCCACCTGTGTGAAGTAAGATACATGCAGGTACCCCCAAAAATGCCAAGGCAGTGGAAAGAATCCAAAAAGGTTTATTCTGAAGTCAAGAATGCTAAAAAACTTACAAAGGAAACCTGCACTGACTGCAAAACAGACACACCTCATGTTCCTCTCCCTGCTGCATGTGAAGGCCTGTGGCATCTTCTTATCTCTGCATACCAGAGAAAGAGCTTGCAGCTTTCTCTGGAATGCAGAAAGGAAAGGAAAAAAACCCCTCATCTAACCACCCTTTGAGAAAGGCACTTTCCAAGCAGGGAAGGCTTCCTAAGCAACACCTGTCTCCTCAAAGTACATTCTTCTGCCAAAAAGGATATTTACTCTTACAACCTGAGACAGTTTAATCTTGGCAGCTTGATCCACTTGTCTGTTGTTGCAATGTTCTTCAGTATCCTGACTCGGGTACGTGTCCATCTACAGGACATACTTTTACAGTCAACTTCTCTACCTGGGCATCGATGTCTTGCCATAATTCAGCAGCCCAGATGGGTTTACCTCTGTGCTGCCAATTGTTTTTTTCGCATCAGTCCAACCACCCCCATAGAGCATTTGCTACTATCCATGAGTCAGTGTACAGGTTGCCCTAGTTACAAGAGTCGGGACCAGTTTATCACTATGTGGGTATAACTAAAACTGTATATTCTACACCCTCTATGTCATTTCTGATGGACTGTTAATAATGGATCATTTCCAGCAGCTGCACAGGGCACACCTGACACCTCAGACCACAAGATGGGTGTTAAAGAACCCTGCCAGGCAGGGGAGTGTTTCTTTGTCTTCACACTAATGACTCAGCTGTCACAACTCCCCTCCGGGAAGGCATTAGCACCTTCACACTCTGCCTGAAGGATTTTCTCTGCTAATGGGCCATAATTGGACTAGCATAATAGGCAGGTACAACAACCTAGACTATCAAGGACTCAAAAAATATCCCGTGACTCAGAGTTAAATCACCCACTGTGAAATTCTCAGCCCTGGGGGAGGTACTGGGCATTCCCACCTGAACCTGAGCACATATAATCTTTGGGTTTTAGAACTTCTGGTCCCACTCGTCAGATTCAGAGGAGGACCAGAACCCCAATAGGAATGCGACTGTTACTCTCAACAAGACTGCGATCTTTACTTCAACAACTGTGACCATCATCTGGACCAACAGGTTTCCTTTCCTTTTACTTTGCACCCAGGGGGGCCTCTTGGTGTTCAGCACAGGGGCTAACCAACACCATTCTGTTCTTGTCCCAGGGTTTCGGTTATACATCTGTCTTTGTGGGTTAAACCCAGTTTTCTCTGTATCATTGCATTTATTGTAATCTTTTAAGTAAATTGTAACTCTAACTTGTAATCTCTCTTGAGCTAGGTTCATTTCTCCAGACAGTTTACTTTTAAACCAGTAAAGAGGTAGAGTGCTGGCCATTTCTCTTGTTCAGCAATATCTAAAGCCAGTTGGACAGCTTTCAACTCTGCCACCTGACTTGATCCACCTTGTTCTTCAATAGCTTCTGCAACTCACTGCATAGGACTCCATACAAGAGCTTTCCATTTTCGATGTAGCCCTAGAATAGAGCAGGAACTGTCAGTAAAGAGGCCATATTGCTTTTCATTTTATAGTAGCTGATTATATGATGGGACCTCCTCAGCACGTGTCACCTTCTCCTCCTCTTCTGATGATAGTCCGAAATTTTTGCCTTTGGGCCTCTTTGTAATGATTTCCAAGATCCCTGAGCGATTGGAGTTTCCTATTGGAGCTCACTGTGTGATCAGTGCAACCCTCTTACTCCATGTGGCATCAGTGGCATGATGTGTGGAAGGGACTTTCCCTTTGAATGTCCAGCCCAGCGCTGGCAGTCAGGGCGCCAGGAGGAGATGTGCTTCTACTGTCAATCTCCACTCTCCATTGGACTTATGCACTGACCATATAGGGCAATTAAAGGGCTATTGAGTCTTGCTGACCACTCCCTAGCTCCCCAGTTCATGAATCATCTCATGGATGGGTGTCATGGAGCCACGGTTGGTGCCGTATTGTCAACAGCGCACTGTTATGGTAGCGATCGGTACCTGTTCTTCTTTGACCCTCAGCAGTCCCACAACAGAAGGGTCCTCTGAGAGACCAGGTAAGGTATTCACCTGCATGTGTATCAATTCATACAGATCAATGTTCTTTGTGCACCAGTGTCATCTAAAGCCTTATACTCTTGTGGGTCTGATGTTCCAGGCCATTGGATCCACACAGTCTAATAGATTGTCCCTTTCCTCCACATGGCTGGAGGTAGGACCCCTCTAGTCCTGGTCATAGTACTTGTTGCTCACTTCTTGTAAATATGAACTGGAAGTCCCTTCAAGAGTCCCTTCAAGAGGATTGGAAGTGACATCAGCCCTCCTACTCTATATGAGGACTTGCTCACTGTAAACCGGAGCAGCATTTATCCTTGAAGAATTTCCTGCAATGGACATCCTTCCTATCAACTCACATACATGTGCTGCTAGGGCAGAGGTGGGTTTTCCATTCCACTTCTTCATTTCCTCTCCATGGAAAAACCACAAGTTACCTCATGGTGTGTACCCTCTCTCTCAAAGACAGGGGTACTTGCTCCCAATAGCAGAGACTTTGGTCCGTACTGGTGGGGCATGGGAGATTTCCTCTCTAACTTCCTCTAGTCTTTCAAGTCTGTCTGCAGCCTTGGACAGTCTTTCCACAGCCAAGGCGCAGATCAGGAGGGAGGAAAAAACATGATCTTCATATTGCCAGAGTCAGGTAGTCACCTGAAGCACTCTTTGTTCTCCTTCTTTCACTGACACCAATGCCAATGAATTGGCGTACGACAATGGCACACTCCCTACAAACTTCTACCACATGAATTGTGTACATTGGACCTCATCTGGATCTACAGGGGACTGCTTTCTATTTGAATCTCTATAGATTACCTCCAGCACAGCTAATTCTTTCAGGTAGTGGATACCTTTTTCCATTGTGTTCCACCTGCTTGGGCACACTACTAGATCATCCTTGAGAGAATGCCTTTCCCTCAGTCTTGACATGAGTTGCCTCCAGAGGCTGAGAGTTTCTGTCATCTTCCCAATCCCCTTGTCAATGTCCACATCCCGGGAATGAATCACTCCGTTCTGTGTAGCTGAGTACATTTCACTGTAAATTCCCATTAAGTGGATTTATTTTGCTGGGATCGTGGGGCACAGTCTCTTTGGGGCAGTTAAAAACCCTCCAAAAAAAAAAAAAAAAAGACTAAACTGGAGGGGGGAAATCCAGCAAAGAGATGCAATTGGCCTTAATTCTGAAAATCAAATTGGAAAAGAGTTGGAGAGTGAAACCTGTGCTTAAGCAGGGGCTAAAATAGCTTCCAAAAGCTGCTGGCTGGCCAGAGTCACCCGCAAAGGAGTGCAGTAGCCCTGTCCCCCTGTGTGTGCTTGCCCACCCAGCTGCTCTCCCCACCAGCTCCATGCTCCATCCCACTTGGCCCCAGCAGCCACAAGTGTTCCATCAGCACACCCCTGATGTGGCCAGCACTCCCCTCTAAAATTAGATTGTGAAAAGAGACGACTGGCAAAATAGTTTTCCATTAAACAGGGGTAACATTTTTTTCCTGCTGTGCTATATTACTTCCTGTTCTTATTTTGTGGGTAATTTTCTGTATCAATACCCTTTGGTTGTGTATCTTCACCTTTTTCTTCTACTAAAACTAAAGCATGGTCTGTATTTCTTAACATTGCCTAGTTCCTGATGTTAATCTCTCTGTAGAGGCATACCCTGCTGAAATGTAATTTGCTGTAGCCTGTAAATTTGCTCACTATATGCTACTTTTGTTCTGTTGCCCTTCCATAGCATGGGTGGGCCTTGTCTTTTATATTGAGCGCATGATGACATTGTTACACAGGATTACACTAATACTAATATACAATCTCTCAATCAAGAAACTAGATTTCCTATATTAACCTAGTGTGCTTTTTCTATTGCTGTTTCCCCATTTATTGTCATATCCAGCTGTTTAGATTTTTTCCTTGCTTTCCCCCATTGTGAGGTTTGAGTGAATTTCTTCCCTTGTAGTGTAGTATTCTATCCTATATCTAGCCTGAGCATTAGTCCATGTTTACATACTCCCTAGATGTGCAGTCTGTATTACTGTTGTGCCAATGCATAATTCTGTTTTACTGCAGAATAGCAAAAAAAGTGTATAAATCCAAGCTGTTGTTATTTATTAAAAAAAAAAAAGATATTTGATGATGGGTCTACTGCTATTTTCATTCTAGTTACAACATTACACATTCCTTACCAGACTGATACCAAAATGAGAGGGATGACCTCCTGATGGATGGAATTATTTATGTTTTGTAACTGATTAAGAAGAGGTAAATGGATTTGGGGGAAAAAAATCTCGCTAATTTATTAGCTCATTTATTAACTGTATATTTAAACGTATATATGAGTCCCCTGCCCACCAACTGTTAGGTAAAAAATTGCTGTGCCTTGATCCTGTGGTGACTGGCACACTATAAATATCTTCACTAGACCCCTGCAAGGCAGGATTTGTAAAACTGTCCCAACTGCTAATGTTGTAACTACATTTTCTTGCTTGAAGCCTCCAGGCCTGCCGTCTTCTGAATAACCCAATTTGGTCTAAAAAGCAAACTATGGTGTTGTGAGAAAATCACCAGGAACCTTAAAATATTGGAAGCAGGGAGGGATGTGCAACAAAATTGTGGTCAGGGAGTAATTTTGCTGCAGCTACAAAGCGACAATAACACTGGTCACCTCTCCTTGTTCCTGCACCAGACCTCCTTTCCCAGATCTGCAAAATGGTCCTGTAAAACCTCATGATTTTGGCTTGGATGCCATGGGAAACTGACGGAAGTCAAGGCTCCCAAACCCAGAAGCTGGGCCTGGGAGGGGGGAGTATTTTGTCTGAATTGCATTTCCACAGAAGGGGAGACACAGAATTGGTGATTTGTCTTTAATGAGAGGAAGACAAGGTTGGTGGTTCCCATCACTAAAATTTCATGAGGAGCCGCTAGCAAACAAAACAAAAACAAGTGGCTCCAGCAGCCTGCCCTGTCTTACCCCAACATCCCTCAAAGAGATGCATTGTTTTGCAAGGTCGTGCCTTTCCACCTCCCTCCTAGCTTTATCCCAAGTTTGGTTGGTTTTCTTTAAACATTTATTTATGATTTCCTTCTCCATATTTCCTTTTCCATGTATCTTGATGACTGTTTGGTCATCTTGTATGAGCACTGGGGGGTTCCCCCCCTGAATGTAATGTATACTGTGGCCCTTTGTTCTTGCTCCATCCTTGCCACCACTGAGCTCCTCTGTGCCTGACATGTATCCCCCTATGTATCCCGAGGAGGGAAGCCTGTGTTTCTTGTTTGCATGAAGGGAGACATGCATGCCTGTTGGGGCTGATATTTTACAATGTGAGGGGGTTTTTCCTTTTTTTTTTTTTTTTTAATTCAACACCCACCCCACATGAGACAATGAAATTTAGGTTATGGCAAGGAAAAAAATGGATCCTCTACCCTGAACCCCAATATAGATAAACCCAGTTCCCTCTGTAACATACCTTGTACTACAGACACCTGCTGGCAGCTGCCCCTTTGCTGAGAGCAGAAGATTCACTGCAGTAATAACTTCCCAGGTCTTATTCTGCAAATTAGCACTGATACAGAGCAAAACTGTTTGGTCAATATACTCTGAGGATACCATGGTGTCATGGTTTAACCTAGTAATACAGAAAGCTACTGGGTTAATGGCAACTTTAAAACCAATTTATTATCCACATCATATTTTGGTCTGTCTTGTTAGAAACATGTTCTTACAAGAGGAAACATCCCCTCACCTCCCAACCTTATTAGTCAATAATCACCAGGCTTTCATAGCTCATCATCCATCGAACGCATCCACAATGTAATGACTTAATTCCTTTGACACTCTTGAAAAGCCACCTCTGAGTCTTGAAAAAGCCATCTGGTACAAAGAAAATAATCTTTTTTTATTTTAGCGTCACAGACTGAGGAAATCGAAGGTGAGTCATGTGCTGGTGGTGCTGCTATGGGTATAGAGGCACATGCAGTGATTTTTGTAAAGCCTATACATCTCTCCAGCATCAACCTGTATTCCTGGGCTACTTTCAATAACATTTGCAGTAACAGGGAGACAAATAATCCCAAACATGGATAAAACAGGCTCTGAGACTCATTTATATGAGGGTTGTGTAGAGGTTTTATACATCTGCATGCATTTAATGATGCCCCAAATGGGAGCTGGACTGACCTGTCTCTCACATGGGTTTGGGGTGGTGACACAATTTCCACCATTTTTAAAAAAAGAGGAATTATCAGCAAAGTCTAAAGAAAGCTGATCTGGATTTACCTTGTTGTGTCTGGATCTGGCCCTGTGGAAGTGTTATATTTAAGAACCAGTGAGTTGGTGCCTGAGTGAGAAAGCAAATGCAGCTGCGAAGCTGGGGGAGGGTTTGAGGGCTGTTTGCCACAAAACTCGGGAGCTGCTCTGGTTGGGGGGGATGAAGAGGTGGGGTCGTAGTGGAGACACAGTCCAGCATCACTTAGTGTATCCTGGTCAGAGTACAGGGTGCCAAGATGGAAGGTGAGATCCATAGGTGCCAGGATGCTGCCATAACCACCTCTGGCTTCAGTCCTTGCTGAGTTGTGAGTCTTGCTCCAAGTCCTTCTCCGTGACCCTCCTGGAAGAACTGTCCTAAGAGTAAGTCTGAACTTCCTTTTCTGTCATTTTAAACTTTGCTTGTAATTTGAGAAGCACCTCATTAGCTGAAAGGGGAGGATGGAGTGCTTCTGGGGCAGATGCAGGAGCCCCATCCTCCCAAACCTGTAGGGGAAACCCCCCAAGTGCCATGGGGAGCACATGTGACACCTGAGACTGGCTCATCCCTCTCCACCAACCAGAAGGAGGATGGTCACAACCTCTGGAGGTGCAGGGATGGAAGGAGAGGGGAGGATGGCTCTTTAAGGGCACGATGCTGGGTAGCAAGGGCACAGGCATCCCCTCCAGATCTTTTACATGCTGGTTTAGACCCAAACCATGAACCAGAGCTGCCTCATGTTAAAACTGGAGGCCCTTATCTCTAGAGGTGCTGCAACAGGTCAGCAGAGAAGAAACCTTTCCCACCCTTAACCTGGGAGCACTTGTTTTGGGAAGCATTAAATAAATGTGTCAGAAATGCAAGAGGAGACTTTGCAACAGGTCTTCTACATCAAATCATCTTTGATATCCATAACCTCCAAGACCAGAGTTGGTTTGGCGATTGGGAGATGTGAACACCTACAGGGAGAGGTGTGATGGCACCACCAAATGTTGTGACTCTTGGGCATCTCATGATATTTGTGTGTTTCTACATAAACCTTCAGCTCCTGGAGTGGGGCGATAGCACAAGGCTTTTTGATTAAAGGGTTTTACATAAAGTAGAACCTCAAATTGCTGCTTATGGCAAACTCAGTCCTCAAAACTCAGAAGTCAACTACAACACTCAGCAGGTTTTTCAGTTGATGCAGTGGTTTGGGAAGAAGGGTTATGTGCGGCTGCAGTGGGGCCAGGGCAGGGACCTGCAGGTGGACAGTGAGAGTGGGGCTAAGACCCAGTGGGTAAAATAATAATTTTCTCCCTTTTGGGGTTCAATTCAGGGAGACAGAGTGGGTCAGTCTGCAGATGGTGTTGGCAGAGGGGTTGTGGTTTCCTGAGTACAGGACCTCACGGGAGATTCCCCAATTAAATCCTTGCATGGTCTTGTCTTACTCCTAAACCTTCTTAGGGAGAAAATCAGGTCTTTTGGGAATGGCTAAATTCTCCCTTTAAAATAAAAAAGCCCTCAATCAGTTTTCAACCAGAGCAACAGATCCTAGTGGTGGTGGGGACTGGGCTCTTGTACTGGAAGAGCTCAGCAGCAGCCAGGATAGAGGGAAAGCAAACCCATTTCTGCTCCGTGCCTCCCTACCACCTTTGCTTAACCCTTTCTGCTACTCCTCTAATCAGTTTTGCAGTCTCCCAGGACCTTTTCTTACCCATTTTTCTGCCTTCTGGTCCTTTACATTTCCCAGGCCCAGCTGGGTTGAGCTGGTTGGCACATGCTGCCATGGATCCGTCTTGGTAAGTGTCCTTAACCACTGTTGTTTTCTCTCTCTCCCTTTAAAGGCTGTAAAATGTGCCTGTAGCAAAGTTGTATGTTTATGGCATGTAGCTCTTTAATGAGCATCATTGCTTTGGTTTGAGTGACTAAGCCCAGCAGCATCAGTAGCAAACCAAGTGCTGGAAGTAGTGAAGATGCAGGTTATGGGGAGAGGCAATAAGGGTCAGCTTGGTACTGGTGGGCTGGGACCCTCTCAAGTGAGGACATGCCTGTGGGGAGATGTTTGGATGAGGATTTTGGTAGCTCAGAGAAAGAACTTGGTGTCTCTGTCTCTTGCACCACATCCCTCTGCTCCTGGCCGCTCGCAGTAGCTGCCCTGCCTGGAAGTGAGACCCCAAAGTGTGGGTGACCCTCAGCTTAGACAGAGCCATCGGCCATTGCTGGTTTTCCCTGGGGGACTCAAGTGGTGCTGCAGAGCTGTTACTGTGAGTCACTCCTCCATCTCCTTCCCCAAATGGTACAAGGAGCAGCTGTGCCCCTAAACAAGGAGAAAGATGGGCCATGGGAACCTTCTGGGACTTCTTTGAAGGAACCTTGAGCAAGACACTGGTGGAACTGGATAGCCCACCAAGCCACATGTCCAGGTACTCAACACAGACTGAGTTAGGAGCTGCTCTGAAAACCTGCTCTTGTCTTTTTCTCCAGGCTCGGGAGTGTCTCTAAAAGACATTCAGAAACACCATCCCTTGGGCATCCATCATGCTGCAGCTGCTCCCCACGTTGAGCTCTTCCAGTGGAGGGTGGGATTGGGAAACACCCCCATAGCAAATGTACCCTCTCTAGCAGTACTTAATGTTGTGTTTTGGGCTTTCTCATCTTCCTGGTGGCATCTGACTCTTCCTTCAGTCATGCTGCTAGGTCAAGGTACTGATATATTGAAAGGGATATTGGGTTTTTTTGGAAGCTGTGGGTGCACCACTCATGAGCACTTGTCCAACTAACTTGT